TTGAAAAAAATGTCGCTTACGTTATTTTGGCGGTTAGGGCTCGATATTATAGTCACAATTCAAAAGACAAAACTGTAGAAATTAATTCTAGCTTAGAGTGAACTGTTTAAAATCATACTGAAAATATTTTTAAGCCCTTGGTTTTGCAGTTTTTCCAAGTACAAAGGAATTCTTTACAACTTTTGAATGTTCACTTAATGTTTCGAGAGTATTGAGCCAATTGTATCTACGATGTTTCTTAGTAAATATACTAGTATTTATTTGTTGATTCTCAGATATTATCTAGTCAAACTTTATATCTTCTGTGCTCAATTATTTCGAAAAGCATTTTTTTAAGTAGCCAGAGTACCAATAGGGTTTTTTTATGCAATTTTTAAGTTTACAACTTTTTTTAAGTTGCACTCTTTTTTCTTCAATTTTATTTTATGTACATATTTATGCATATGAAGTTATTTGTCATGGTATGCTCATGCTTTAGTATTTTTTAAAAGCTTCTTTTATAGATTGATGGTAATTTTATAGTAATACTTATACTTATACATATTTTGATTTTTTTTATGGGAAAAATAATAATTGTTATTAAAATTACAGATCTAATCTTCTTCTGCGAGTTAACTTACTAAATACATACTTCATACCGTTAGCATAAACTTATAAAATATTTTTTTTTTTAGGTTTGGTTTAAACCAATTTTTTTTTTTAAGTTACATTTAAGATTTTTTAGAGGATTTAACACATTTTCGCTTTCAAGTTTTACAAACTTTTTTTTTTGATATACAGTATTTTCAATTTGGAGATGCAGATTTATAGCCACATACCATTCTATGCTTTTAAAAATTATTTTCACTTTGATTAAATTTGGTTTTCCGTTCTAGAAAAATAATTAAAATACCATTATTGTTGCTAACAATTTTTATATTTATATTCCGTCTTTTGAACCTCATTTCTTAACCGGCATGCATATCAAAGTTTTCATATTAGTTTTCAAAAAAAAAGCGTTCGCTCGTTTCTCACACTTTTCCGACCAATACCTCCTTCCTCACTCTTCATTTATGCAATCATCTCTCTTGCGCTTCCTCCGATTTATTGTTATATTTCACTTACGCACCTCCTTGTTCTCCTGCAACTTCTTCCAGG